TTATTTATTTATTTATTTATATGTGGCAGATAACAAGGCAGATATTTTCTTCTTAGAATGCTTGACATCATAAAACAATACTTAATTGTCATGGTTAAGTTTAAAATAACTGTATCAGGTCAGACACTGGCTGGGTGAAAGTGTCCCCTGCTTATATATGAAGGATCCCACCCCTGTACTTGTCTGGTTCCAGCTCTGCTTAGTCACATAGTCACATGCCTGGAAACCTCCCAACACAGACGCCTGCTAAAGATAGACTGGGTAACATCAGTGTGGTTGAGGTTAAATCTGTATGTGTGTCATAGGGGACAGTGGTGGGCCTTGGCCTGTGTCCAAATAACATGTCTGATAAACAACTACAACGGCCACACAGCAGTAGTTATGTTTATTTAGAAGGTAATCCCCTCTCTTCACCATAAAAACAAATGCCAGTATGTAAATAGATTCCTGTATGGAGGGCATTTGTGACAATTAGCATAAAGGTCTTATGTTTAAGTGGCAAACATTCAGAACTGACAGGAAGAATCCATGTCCTAGAGCTCTTTCCAAATGACAGACAGCTGTGAGTCCCTGTGGGCTGTGTGTGTGAGTACACATTGTACAAGGCCAGCAACTTTGTACATTCATTCTCATGAGAACCAAGAGAACTTACACTTTTCATCCTCGTAGGAACCTCCGGAGCTGTTGCTGTAGCGAGACTCCAGCCTGTTGTGAGCCCTGGCCCTACTGAGATCAGTGCATGACATTCAAAGTGAAATTTTTAGTTTTTTGCCAAAGCCTAGTTAACACAGGTATATAAGAAAATGTTTTGATACTGACCGCTCTTCACTTTCTCTGACCAGCTTGTTCTCATCTGTGTCTGGCAGGTTGTCCTGACCAGCCACCACAGTGTTACTGCTGGAGGTGGTGCCTACACATAAGACATTTAATAGATAATATTCAGAAATACAGTGTAGTCACTCATAGACATCATAAATTATGACAGGAAAGGCTCATCTCACCTGTCTGCGAGGTGGAGGCTTTGTTGCTGGCAGCAAAGCGATAGAAGGGAGGGTTGTCGCAGTGCAAGACCACAGGGTTGACTGGGTCAGTCTGCTGGAGCTCAAACAGGAGCTCTTCCATAGTCTGGATGGTGTTGTTGCGACACAGGTATATCACCACCTTCTTGATCTAAAAGAGCCACAAATATACGGTATTAACTGATTTATCTCTGCATACTTGTTATGGTATTCATTATCATCATAAAATGTAACACATGACCCCTTTATCTTTGTGAAAAACATTTCATGACTACAACTACACTTACATAAGGCAACAGTGTGGTATCACTGCTGACTCCACACAGGCTGATAAGGAACTGCAGGGTGATCCGTAAGTTGTTGCTCCACCTCTCGTTGGACACCAGAGCATTCCAGGCATTCTCAATCTCCGGGCCAGGAACCTCGTCTCCATACTGATAATGTGAAAAGCAAAATCCAGTTGAAAAGGAGGAGATTTTTGGGAAATTGGAGAGTCATTTCACAAGCAAGGGTTCCTACCTTAGCAGTCATGAACATGAGGTTGTTAAGCACCAGCGAGGTCGCCTGCAGGGAGCCCCAGCCATTACCTCTAAGACTGGGGGAGAAACCCATGCCCTGCCCCTGACCGTGAGGTTCTTCCTCTGGTGTGCAGGGGCTTGAGGCAGGGGGTAAGAGCCCCGTGTCCACTAGCTCAATGTTACTAAGCCAAGGTAGCAGGTAGGATAGCATGATCTGTCTGCCGTTGGTGTGGGTGGTTGGGAAACGCTGGCTCACCTCTGCATGGGCAAAGAGGAATTAAAGTTACAAGTGCCTTGAGGAAGCTAGAGCATTCTTTTTAGGTAGAATAACAGGAGAAACACATTGTGAGCAAGTTTAACAAATGTCTCAGGGAGAATAATGGCCTCTTGGGAGTTTTGAATGTGAGAGTCTAAAGAGATTGTTTTGGAGATCCTGTTTGCTTCAGTATTTAATGGGTACACTAGATGCAAGTATTCAGAACACTGGGCCATAATGTCACAAAAAAACAAACATATTGGCAGAACCTGTGTTTCCTTAATCTGATATGCAGAATTTGCGGTTTAAACATGATAGTGGGGAGAAATAACAGGGTGGGGAGTGGAGTTTTGATTTATTCCTGGGATTAGGATGTACTGTTCTCCAAGAAATAGATATAATAGGATTTTAGTCTTGGCCATGTTTCCTGGACTTTGTAACAAAGTACTTCAGTCTCTTCAACCTGAAAAATGTACCTGAGAAAAGTGGCAGAGTGAGCTCTGGGTACATGCTCGCCAGCTGGATAGAGAGTGTAGACAGGTTGACGCTGTACAGGGGAGGCAGGGGCCCGTGCGTTCCATACAAAATATTACCAGGTTTCTGCTCCACCATCCGCTTAGAGTACGCACACAGCTTAGACTCCAGCACCTGCAGACACATTATTTATCTTTTACAGTTAAAATGCGGTTTGGCTTTACGGTTGTGTTCCCTTTCCCAACTCTTTGTGTGCAATTAATATTTAACATGGCAATGGTGGTGTGATGTATGTACCTGCATCAGCTGCATGGAGATCTCATATATTTCCCTGCTGGTGTCTGAGGCCTTGAACAACACCAGATTGAGCAAGGTCACAAGGTCGCATGGGTAATTCCTGGCAGAGTAAGGAGAAATGCTCAGTAGTTGCTGGTTACGATAAAAACTAACTTAACAGATGTTAACAGACAGTTGTGGGCAGTGTGGGAAATTACATTTAAACATGTAGTATGATCTCGTTGGTTAGCGCTGCTTCTAATAAATGTTACAAAGGCAAAGGCATGATTCCTACCTGTTACCGCAGACAGTGGCGATAGCCTTAAAGCAGCCAGATGCCAGCTGGTAAGATCCTGTGAAGCAGCGGTCCACGGCCCAGTTGAACAGATTGATTTGGTCTGGGTTAAGTTCTAAGAGCAGGATGACCACCTCACATCCCAGACGGTGCACCTAGAGCAAACATGTTATTATGTAGAGGAACTAATCTACAAGTGTACTGACCAGAGTATATTCGCAGAAAAAAAAAACACACAAAGCTCCTTTGCAAGAAGGTAAAGCCAACCGTTGATGCAAAAGTTGACCTACCCGTATGTCGTGACAGGCCAAGATGTTGTCAAGCCATTTGTAGAGATAGCCGTCAGTAGACAGACCCACATTGTCAAATACTGGACCACAACACAGAACTGCCGACATGGCCTGGGTGACAAAAGTTGAGTTAATGTTAATGTTTCTGAAAAATACAATGGAAGGGGAAAAAAAGTGGTAGGCTTTGGGAGCATGGATATTGCTTACCTTTAGAGCACAGTACTGGTAGCGAGTGATCTGGTGGTTGCGGTCACTGTATCGATCGAGGGGAGTGAACATGACACTGAAGGGTCCAGCCCATTGACTGAAGAGGATGAAGAGATGGTGCCTCAGAGACTGCTGAGGAAAGAGAAAGCGCCTGTGGTGGACTGTGCAGATGTGAGGGTGAGAGACAGAGAGAGACATGTTGGGTCAAAATCAGAGAAAGACTTCTTTATTACCATTTAAATTTATAACCAGATTTTTACTGACTGGCATGGAAATGGGGTATGGCTGCAGAACATGTCTAAAGCCAGGGCTACTACATGTACGACTACAGAAAGACCAATGCATTATGATATATGATATAATTAAAAAGTAATAAAATGATTTACCAGGAACACACTGGATGAGATTAGCCACCATGCCGCTGAAATGGGCTCTGATGTCTTTAAGCACGTCCAGCTCCTTCTCATTCTCAGCCTCCAGAAGCATCCGGGTTAGATCCACATACTCAAGGAACAAGGCACCCAGTGCCAGGGAATCACGCTCCAGTGCTCCATTGGTGCTATAGAGGAGGAGAAAATAGTAATCATAGAGATCATCTTTGATGTTAGATAGGGGATTTTACATAAGGAGGCTAGAAGTTAGAGAAGGAAGTGAATGACAGAAGGGAAAAAGCAAGAAAGATGCATGAGCCAAAGCGCCTAGGGAAAGCTCAAAACAAAAACAACCAGAGGGCACTGAATTAAATGTTTGTGCTACCTGTCACTGATAACTCCCGCATTAGCCAACAGTTCAAAGATCCTCAGCAGCTGCAGCCTGAGAAGATCCCTCCTCTCTCTGCGCTTCTTGTTCTGAAAGCACAGACAGGTTTCTCAGTTCTGAATTTGAAGTTAGTAAATGTATGTCTTTTTGTTTATACCTGGATGATTGGTTATTGAAAGAAAAAGTGACTTAACTTAACTATACTTAACTATACCTGCAGAACAAAAAAAGTCAATTTACATAAATAATAAATTATTGACCGATGGACAACATCTCTAATAGCTATGATAATGCACTACATACACAACTCAGATTATAAACTTTTACACTGTGTATATAAAATAAGTCTAACTCTGGATTAACATTATACTTCATCAGGAGTATATATTTTAATTTTCTGTCTGGGATCAATAAAGTTTTGTAAAGCAAGTAAAAATCTAATCCGGTTAAATTCTGTGAGTGTGTTTCTCTCATCCCTCTCTCCATCTGTGTGTGTTTGAGTGTGTGTTACCTCAGGCCTACGCTCCAGTGCTTCCTTCATCAGTGGATGGAGTTCTTCGACTAGCTCCCTACAAACACACAAGACCAGAAAGGGAAAAAAAATCAATTGATTGCCTGGTCGCTAAATGAGACTGATTGAGTCTTCCTTCCTTGCAGATGGAGCATGGTCTGACGTATGTGAACACAATGGTTCATAACAGATATCCATTTTGTGTAACCCAAATGTCACATGCCCTAAAACCACTAATCCTCAAACACAGTAATGTTACACAAATATGTCTGGGGAGATGTTAATCTCTTTAATAACAATGAGCGCCCTTTTGGAAAACATTTCAGGTTAAAAATAGATGATCTCTTTAAAATGAAATACTTTCACATACTCTTTCACAATGGAACTTCTGTCCTTTGAAAAAAGGTGATAGATTTTTGTCCCTCTCTCTCCTACTGCAGTGACGCAGTTTTTTTTCCTTCTTCTCTCTCTAAATGTCTTAGAGGCATCTCAGTTATGAAAAGAATGTGAAGACAGATGGGAATAACTAATAGAAGCAAGCGTGAAGACTGATGAATCATGTCTTTCTTATGTAAGAGATAAGGACTAAATCCAGCACATCATCAATTTTCTATTGTAATCTAAATCTATCCAATGTCATTCCCTCCATTCAGGCTTTGAGTATTTATCCTCTGCCAAAACAAAACCAAAGAACAACAGGCCTGGGTTACATAACAATAGCGAGTTTAGATTTATGATTAATGAACAGTCCTCTCAGCATTAAATCAGATCTGTTTTTGTAATGAACAAATGCTTTTACATCTTAGTAGGTAAAACAATATTAAACACTTTACCGAAGTGTCATGTGTATGACACGAGCTGAGTGTGTGTTATCGGTGTACATTTCTGCATGTGCCAGTACCTGAAGACCAGAGCATTTGTGCATCCAAACCCCAGCACCAGAGACTCTGTGATCTCCAAACTCTCAGCTCTCATCAGCGGGACGAGCTGCTTTAAAAGCCAGGCTACTGAGGGAGTGCCTATCACCTGAGAGATAAAAACAAATACACAAACATGGATCAGGCAACTTTAATAACATAAAACTGATCCAAATTTACACAAATCTGGTAACCATATACACTTCGCTATTACACAGCATTGTTTATGAGTCCAGGTTTTAACTTCTTACTAGTTTCCATTTTAAAATGGAAAAATCATCAGTGCAATGGGTGGGGGGAACAATAAATTCAATATTTTCCCTTAGAGCTGATCAATAAGAAAAAAAAAATCATCTGTAACTATTTTTATAACCAGTTAATCTTTTAAAGTAGTTTGTTGCTTTTCTGTGTTTTATATAATGTTTTTATAATTAGATTAGATTAGATTTTTTCCGCACAAACACACACCTTGTTGTCGTAGGTGACGCTGCCATCAGGTGTGGTGGCAGTGATTTCTGGTGTGGAAGCTCTGAGGTGACCAGGGGACATGATGCTCGGCTTAGCCACGCCTAGACACAGGATCAGGTAGTTACGCCACAGAGAGATGTAGTTGTCACTGGAGCCCGCCGTGCTCGTCTTCTTAGCATTCACAGGACTGCTGCAGAAAAACAAAAGGAGAATAGGCAGGTTAACTTTTCATTGACATGGATCATTTGCTGTATTAGATACATTAGTTTTGTTATTAAAGCGACAGTTAAACACTTAAAAAGTACAAAATAATGAATGTGTGTTCTTACTTTGGATCAACCAGTGGCAGTAGCAGCTGTAGCCGTGTGAAAACGTAGGGCCAGGCATATCCCAGGGCAATGGGGCAGTGTTTGGGAAGGTGCTCCTGCCGCAAGAAGATGTGCAGACAGAGCACCCACGGGTCCTTCATACACTGGGCAAAGATCCAGACGTGGCTGGGGCTCTTCACGTCGTAGGAACTGCTCACCAGTCGAGCCGTCCACTCCACCAGCCACTGGAGGTCAACATGGTGGCTGAGAGGCAAGGTGGACTGAGGGAGGGGAAGAATGATACACAGCAGAAAAATAAGTAATTTGGGAGATTGTGATATAAATAATTGATCTGATGTACTAATCTTACCGATCACACTCGTAACACAAATACACTTACTGAGTCAGAGACAGCCACATGAACAAAGCTGTCCATTACTGCTGGGCTCAGCTGGTCCATGACCTCTATCATGGGTTTATCATCATCCTGGAAGGGAAGACATTTATAGAATCAGCTATTTTTATAACAACGTCATACAACGTGAGAGAATTCACAGGCTGCATATGCTGCATATCTAATCACAGCTAGGGTCAGATGGCTCTCCTTCCATTCTGCTATTTCCACGTCCTTTATCCCTCTTCAGTAGCAATCACTGGATGCCTTTGGCATTCACTCTATCTAGAAGTTTAGCTGATGAATTATTCTGTATTATGTTTTCTGTACTGTACCTCAGCGTGTCCCAGAGCTGTGAAGAGGCAGCGGATTTCTCTTAACACGCTGACTGCCAGTTTCCTCGTGCTCATCTGACACGAGCAGAGGAGCAGCAGAGCAAGGCCCTCAACTGCATGGAGCACTGAGCCATGAGGGCTTCGCTCTGGCAGTCTGGGGCTGGACTGATGGAACGGGAAGACAGAGAGGGAAGAGAAGTTAGTGAAGAGTAACAAATACTTCTGTAAGCCACCATGTTTGACCAGTAATTAAACCTGTAGTTATAGTTTGGTGTTATGTTTTCTGACGCTGTACAAACCTCAACTCCACCTCGCATCTTCCCCTGGAGCTGCAGAGCTAACCTCCACTGTGTGAGCAGCTGGAGAAGGAGCTTCACAGATGCATCCTGCAGACCCTGATGGGTGTCTTGGACCTGGAATAGTTTGGAGTAGCATAGTATATGTTGTTAGCTAGTTTTCTCAGTCAGAGAAAAAAAAAAAACCTAAATACATGTGTAAAGGAAGTGCAACCAATGCAAATGCAGGATTAATCTTTTACTGTCTAAGTAAGTAACTAAGCAGTTGCAGGTTTCTGGTAAGTTTTACCTCACGCAAAAGGAAATGTGTGTAACCAAACAGGACGTCTTCCCTCCAGTCGGAGAAATCGAGTAACAGGCTCTGCAGGGAGTTCTGGGAAATAAGACGAAGCTCATCGTCCATGTGCACCGTAAGTCTGAGAGATAGATGACAACATATGTTGAATGAAAAAGATCTTCTTGAAGACATAGAAACAAAATACACTGATGATGTTGTGCAATGTCACTGACAGAAATAGAGATCTCATAGGCGCCAACACAAATAGCTTCAAAGTGAATATAAAGATGTAAAATTAGTGATAACTCAACAGAAAGTTAGCCAGCCAGACATAGGGGTTGTCCTGTCTCTTAACTCACCGTGAGAGCAGGTCAATGAGCTCAGGTTTGGACATGGCATCAGGAAGGATACGAGGAATGGCAGCCACACAAGTCCTGAACAGGTCGATTTTAGGCTTCCTTTCACCACTGTTAAAGATGAAGGGGGATGTTAAGCATGGTAACACTTGCTTAAGGTATTTCTTAAGGCAAAACACAGTTAGGTCATGTTAACAATGTCTCTACTTATGAACATGAGAAACTGAAAGGTGCATACGTGTTTTACTTGCAAATGTTCTTTCTGTGTCTCATTTTCAACATGGGCTTTCATTATAGTATCAGTAACAGAATAACCTCATCACTAAAAGTAGTTACATACGTGATCATGTCCTCTGGTTCTTTGTTGAGCATCTGGACGCTGGTGAGCATCATACAGCGACCCACCTCCTTGTCCAAGTGTCTCAGGATGTTGTCCAGAGCTTTTCGCACCTGGGAGTAGTACAAGGACATGCCTGTGGAGAACAGAGAGAGACAGTACATGGATTTAGACTATATTCAAACTACAATGGCTTGAATGCTCACACACACACACACACACACACCACAACAGACCTATTAGGTTTTTGCTTCCTCTTCTGTAAGCGTCTTGCCTGAGGTACGTTTTCTTCTTTTTCAGAGAGTTTCCAGAGGGTAGAGTGGCTCCTGTGTTGGGCATTGGAGGCTCTCCGTCCTTCTGTTGCAGAGCATCTGCTATCACCAGGAACGCCCGCAGACCAATGTTCATACGCTGGAACACAGATAAAGCACAGCGTCTGTTTATCAACAGCAATGGCAGGTTTATAGCAGGTAAACGCACATCACCAGGCATTGGTTACACTTTGACAAGGAAAATGAATTTGCTGGAAGAAACAACACAATCTACTAGTGTATATAAATCATTATTTCATTTATGTACTTATTAAAACCTTACCCATTACCCATAATGCAGATCAACCAGTTCAGTATGAGATTTGGGTGTATTATGTTAATAGCAGCTAATTGAGCCTTAAGCGGCTAGCCTCAAGCAGAGATGAGGAGCAGGCTACAGGGATCTGGTCCAGATTTTGTTAGTCTTCAGCCCACAGTGACAGTGACATTTATTAAACTTCCCCAGCCACAAAAGGCTTTATACAACTTTTTTCACACGCAGTAAACCTTTTTAAAATGCAGCAATTTTAAAGATTTGTTTCTGGTCACACGACTGGAATCCTGTAACCAACTCGAAGTGCATCTCTTGACTACAGCTAAGAAAAAAGGTTCTCATTCATTCTGGTGGTGCATTTAATTTTAAAGCTCCAACAGAGAGCATACTTTTCTTCACCTTCCTCGCTGACTGAAGACTACAAATAAAAACTGGAATGCTCATCCTTGTAACATTGCCGGGGGGTAACACTGTTGATCTGTGTGCGATTGTGTGCACATGATTGAATGTCTGTGTTTGCTCTCTTTACCTCTGGGTTGAGACTGAAGGCTTTGGCAGGTTTCCCAACACTCAGCAGATCAAATATGATCTCCTTCATGGCGAAATCCAGTCTCTCCTGAACAGAGGACAAATACCGGTATTACAGGATTTCAGAGTTAATGTGGTGTGAGACAGCATGTGCATCTACTGTATGTCACCAACGGCACACAGATGGGACTTTATTTATTACATATCTGATTAAATAGATGAATAACAAATGAAAAGAGCAAAAAATCAAAACAAGAGATGTAAGGACAATACATTATATAGACATAATTCATCTGTATCTGAGTTCATTGCACTAAATGTCATACTGTATGCTGTTTAATGACTTGAAGAGACGTGTACACTGGAAAGATGTTTCAATGAGTTTCAAAAGCTTAGCCTCTCATACAGCCATAAAATGGATTCTGGTGAAATGTAAATAAAATCTGATGGCGTACACTCTAGGTAATGATGTATTATCAGAGCTGTGAGAACTGTGTGAGTAAGTACTGAAATCCTGTTTCAGCAACTCTGTCAACTTGAACTTTTGGATTAACTAGTGTTTGTGTTTCTTGCTGACAGCAGAAAAAAGTACAGAATAAATCTTAGAAGTTGGCAGATATTTGGCTCCACACGAAACACAACAAACGTGACTTCATTTCTCATGTGTTTTGACCTAAAGCAGAAACCTACATCTTAGACTCCATGTGAGTTTTTTTTACACAAGAGTTTGTGCAGGTATCATACACACCTGTGCAATAAACTGGATGATCTTGACAAAAATATTAAGGGGCATGTCTCTGGGCACAACGCTACGACTCCCTTTGGGGAACAGAGTGGAGGTGATGGACGTCAGACGACTGGGGGAAGAATGAGAGACAGAGAGACAGAGAGGAATGATAATAAAATCAACTCCACATCATAGTTTTTAACTGAGAAACATTAACAGAACTAAGTTGTCCTTTTAGTGTATTGTATTAGCTCATGATAATTACTACGAGGTATTACAATATAGCCAACAATGACATATTGATGCTAAAAACTTTACAATAACATATATACCACATGTGGCTGTTACCTCTGTGTCCCAGTGTTGCTCTCGCACTTAATTCGGATCATGTAGACCCACAGCAGGCGGTAGAGGGATTCCAGAGCCACACGTGCCATCTTGGGGTCTTTATTCTGCATTCATACACGTGCAGACAAAACTTTATTCTGTTTCATTGTGTTTCATACCTCCACTTGGTTTCCAAATGGTTTCCTCTCAGACAAAAAGACAAACAAAGTTTCTGAGAGAGTTTCTGCAGTACAACACTGACAGGCATTCCTCACATACTGCACCTTACAGACACGTGATCATTTACTGCATGCGCTACAACCACTGCTTTCTCAGAATATACAGCATGATCATGAATGTGATCATGAAAACAATTTAGCCTTATGGGCCCCATCAATCACTGTGTTTTTAACCTGCAGTGTTTCCCTCGAGGTAATACATATTAGTTGATTGTATAGTTGAAGAGATCTTAGTAGTGCTAGTGCAGCAGTTTGATGTGTGAAGCTCTGTCTTGTGCCGTTAGTCACTTTGTCAAAATTGTTTCCCAAGGGCAGACATTTATTGCACTGCCCTTGGGACTGCTTAGTATTTGTGTACCAATATATCACTGCTTGTGATCTATACAAATAACCCCATGCTATGGTAATTCTTGCATTTGCATGTTGTAGACAGAAAGGCTGACCTTGAGGTTTGAGAGGCAGTTGTTGAGGAAAATGTGCCAGCGGCTGAGGAAGAACTGCTTCTGACTGACACACAGCAGGCACGTCACCAGAGGATATAAAGCCTGGTGTGGAGAGAGAAGACAGATGGGACACATTTGCATCAGCAACAACAAATAGTAAATTATCAGGGTATCCAAATGTAAAGGATACAGACTGTTTTCCTCACCAGGTTTATACATTAATTACACAACTTAGTACTTTGAAACTGATTTCAGTCTTTTAATTAAGTCAGTCAAAAAAGGTCTGAGAATCATTTATTTAAAGCTGATATCTAATTACTGAGCTTTTCCTTCCTCATTTAATAGCAATGCGATTGTCCCCTAACAATGGGCAATTAAAACCTTTCTGATTAAACAATTTTTCACAATCATCTTCCAATTGTTTCCTGCCTTATAAATCCCTCATTAGCCTTTTTTTTCCCTATCTGGAATTAAGTAAATTTAACAAAACGAAAAACTTCTGTGCTTTATCTTGCCAGTACGTTTCAAGAGAAGACTGGTGTTTGGATCATTTGAGGACTTGGAAGTGTTGGAACAGTTTCCTCCATTTCATACCAAAATTAAAGCAACATCATTGTGAACAATACAATTACAAGTTTATAGAAGAGAACAATATTTACATTTTTCAACATAAAGTTCACATACAGGAACGTGAACTGGGGTGTCTAGTCGGTTCAAGCATTTAGTAAAAGGCACCTAAGTCTGCATGCAGATCATTCTTAAACATGAATGCCTTGCTAATGACCGGTGTGAGTCGAGGTACACCCTTCTCATGAATGGTTATGGGAATGCTAGGTTTGAGGAGTGGATAATTTACCTGTCAGTCCTTATCAAAGTAAGTATTTGTTATCCGTCTATCCCCCATTTCGATGTCTCCTCTTATTCAGGGACTCAGAATGTAAAAGGATAACAATTACGGAAATGCACCACATTACTGTCATTCCTATCATGTCAGCCCATTCTGTTCTGACATGGCTGGTTATTGTTTGTTTTTGTGCATGCCTGTGCATTGCTCCGTTGGAAAAAGTGAAAAGACATATAGTATATGTTCAGAGAGGTGTGTCAAGTCTTGAATGCATGGATTGCTTGGAGTATTTGGAGAATCTATCAAAGGGAGCGTGTATGACGGCTGAGGACACGAGTCTGTCACAGCACGAGGAACCCATGCACATATCACAAATAGCACATCAGCAGCAACCATCAATAATGTGATACAGCAGTTTGGTTATCCAATTTGTCTATCAAATGGCTACCACCCAAAGGGGGGGGCAGGGCAATAGTTAACTAACATTTAGAGGAACGTTGCCTTAGCAAGCATTGCTGCACAGGGCTACGGAAAAATATCTCTTATCAAATAATTTCTGTCAATTTACAGCACTAAAATAAAGAAAAATTACACATCAGTTTGGAAAATACCTGAAACAAGTTGATTTACATTGGAAGCAAGTCAAAGAATCTTGCTTAACTAGCAGGTTTTTTTCATGTTTTTTTAAGAAAATAAGACCTAAAGTATTACATTACAGACAGAAATAACTTTGTAGGGCAGATTAGTAAGGGAACATCTTGGACCAGGAAATAATTTAGTTAAATTTTTACATAATCCTCCGTCATAGACTGTTGCCTGTTCTATAATTTCCTTAACATTCATGCTTAAAACCTTTAGGTAGTACCAGTTCACAATTAAACATAAGAGTTTTATTGCATGCCTTTTCATGTCAGGCTGCTATCTTAATAAGTGAGATTTACTGCATCTAATTTGCTGATCCCCCTGCCTGTTTCCCTGCTGTGGGCAAAATATTACCCATCTGGCACCGCTTCAAAAACTAGCCTGTGTACTGCCTGCTGCACTCCTGTCTCCTTTCCATGGAGAGATAAAAGCCTACATGTTGGAGACTTACAGTAAGCGCTTTCACCAATTGATGTTAATGGAGAGGAAATGAAGAGAGATGGGCAGTGATGAAACAGAATATGGGGAGAAACTTACCAGAGAGTGTTTCTTCCTAGAGGACAGATCCAGTGTGGTATCGTACAAACTCTCTACGAAGTTTCGTAGACATGGCACGTTCACCTCATTCTTCACAGTCTGTGGACCAGCAGAGAGACAGACATTTTATTTAAAAGACCAACAGTAACTTCAATCTGACACTGACTTAAAACGAACCCAAAACAATTAAAGGTTCACTGAGTAGCAAGATGAAATGCACTTACAGCAGCTACAGGTACAAGTATCTCCACAAAGAGTCCGGCTAATGAGTGTTTAATGTCTTTATCCTTCACTTCCAAGAAATACTGTGCACACTCCTACAGACATAAAGAGAGAGAGAGAGAGAGAGAGAGAGAGAGTCAGCAATAGTGAGACAAACAATGTACGTACATGATAATTCTGTAAACACAAGGTCACCAGTTACAGTTTCTGTTTCGTTATGGGGGAAGAAAATGAGAAACAATGATCGCCCCAAACTGCTTCCAGACATGAATGTATGCAGACAAAGAGCACGTCTGTCCCATGAACGCTCCCTGGGATTCCTACACCAGACATTCCTACACCAGACATTACTATTTGTTGACATGTAAATAACAGGTAAAGGATTTCAGCTCAGCCTACCTGCATGAACTGGAAGGAGGCTTCAAAGTCTTCCACCGGGTACATTTTGATGCGGAAGAACTTGAGTCCCATAATGAGGCTGATGGTGGACTGGATTACATAAGGGCTCTGCTCCTTCTGTCTCAGCTCCTTCAGTTCAGAGATGAACTTCTTCCTCACTGCTGGGAACCTGCAGAGGAAACGGTGACCAGATGTGAACAGTCGTTCTATTCTCTTTTTAGTAAATGTATTCATATGCAAGTCTCTGAATGGTGGTGCGGAATTACTACAAAATGATGTAAATATCTTTTTCTCCTTTTTAAATATGTTTTTGTGGCTTTTTGCTTTTATTTGATTGGACAGGTCAAGATGCACAGGAAAGGGGGAGAGAAAGAGAAAGAGAAAGAGAAAGAGAAAGAGAGAGAGGATGACACACAGTAAGGACTCTTGTACATGGGCACCAGCTCACCAAGTGAGCTAGCAGGGCGCGCCATAATTTTTCTTTTCTTTTAACTCTTACTCCTCTATGCACCTGTTTTTTTTTCATGTGCACATGAGTATGTGAGCTTGTGTGTATATGCATCCGTGGTAAGACAGATTTTACCAGCGGCGTTCTGCAGGCCTATATTTAGAATGGCATCTGGAGGGGTGATGTGGAGGGAATGTGTACATGTGTGTGTGCACTTGTTCTTCTGACGTCTGCGTTTTTTTCGGGGGAGTGCTCTTGCATGCTTCACAGGGGTTGCCACAGCAGTTAAGTAAGTGGAACAATCATCAGCCTTCTGTTTAGTGCAGAGTGTTTAAATAAGATGCACATAAACACTGCGACCCATAAACCAAGCTGGAAAAGCACAGATAATGCCAAGAATAAAG